ATGGGAGTCGTGACTTGGATTATAATCCAAGTTTCTTAACTTGAAAATCCTTAAATACCCCTTAACTCGTGACATTCTCGCTATAGCGAGTAATTTTTGCTACAGCGAGAAATTCTCTCGCTACAGCAAAAAAATCGAACAAAATTGCACTTTGTTATCTGACATTCTAGCTACAGCGAGAGCTCCTCGCTATAGGGAAAACATCCTCGCTATAGCGAGAAAGCACCAGAATGCCTGATTTTGACGTTGATTTCTCACTACAGCGAAAATCCTACAACTCACCCATCTAAAACTCTCCTAATTTCAAGCAACATGCATTAATAACTCACATGTAGTGAGCCAATTCTCGCTACAATGAGAGAGCACCAGAATGCCTGATTTTGACACTGATTTCTTGCTAAGCAAGATACATCTCGCTACAACGAAAAATCTTGCAACTCACCCATCTAAAACTCTCCTAATTTCAAGAAAAATGCATCAATAACTCACATCAAGTATAAAATTAATAACTAAAAAGTAGGGATGTTACGGAAAGAACTTTTAACTGTAATCCGATTAAAAGATCACATATGTCGATGTTATTTCAAGTAGCATAGTTTCATCATTGCTTCCAAATGATCAAACTGCTCATTCAAGATTCAAAATTCTCCTAGATGTCAACGAAGATTATTCATGTAATATTAAAGAAGGTTTTTTGCATACTAAACTATTAGAGAAGGAAAAGTTTATTATTTGATATGAAACACCAATGATAAATAAATTATGCTTTGGAGCATTGGACAAATGCTTGAAAGATGTCTTAAGACATTCACAATGCTTTAACTTCTATCTTTCATTTAGTAGTAAGGTAGTTGTGTTAAGTGATGATTTTAGGCAAATATTACCAATGATTCCAAAAGATTTGAACAAGACATAGCACAAGCAACAATTAATTCTTCTTATTTTTTGTCCTTTTACTAAGTGTTGCAATTCACATGCAAAAAATAATGATGACTTGAAGCAATTTAGTGAATGGCTTCTAACAATAGATGATGATATTGTTGATGATTCTATATATGGTAAAGCTCAAGTTGAAATACTAGTGATAAGTCCATATTTTGAAGTACTTTAAGACTTATATTTTGGTAATAGGAATTTATTTTATGAAAGTTTCTCACTAGTTTTGATGTTAATTTTCACAGTTAAGCATAAGAAAACCATCGGTGCTTTTTAGAAATATTCTTAGCAAAAACTTAGATAATTTCAGCTGGTTCCGCACTTATGCACGACTGTGCTTTGTAAGCTACATAGGTGTGCTTCGCTATTTAGCATGGTCATGCTGAATGAGGGTGCATGATCATGTTGAATGGATCTGTGCTCAAAAGTTTAAATTCAAAATTTAAACCTTACGAAAGTTTTGATCTAGATTTAGATTTGAAATTCAAATAAAGATTTCGGTTGAGATTTTGATTGTGGATAAAGAGCCTTATGCTCCACACTTGGAACAACTTTTTCTACTTCATTCTACACCTTTCTCTACACACCTTCTTCTCCTTCTTAGTTCTAACTTATTTGACCATTGAGACTTATTGGTAATTGTTAGTAAAGACGACGAGCCTCCCTTTGGAGTCCGAGTGAGTGATTGAGCACCACTTGAAGAATGAGAACTTTTTTCATCTTTTTCCCTTTTGGATTTCTCTTGTTTGAATTCTCCTTTGTGTTTATGGATTTGTTCTTCATGCTTTTCGTTATTAATTTTGTTATGAGTAGCTAAATCCATAGTTAGGGCTATGGCAGAACCTATTGCATACTTTGTGTGCTTTTTACGTTTAATAGTAATGTTGGTTTCTTTGTGTATTTGGTTTTTATCTCATTGAATTAAATTATTCATGTTAAGAACTGATCACCCTTAGCATCTCATAGTTAATTTCATTGTATGCGATTGTACCACTAATTAATGAAACTATAGGATAAAACAGTACAAAGAGTTAAGCGGATCAAACTTAATCATTCTCTTCCAACTGTTATTAAATTAACAAATTCATAGGTTCTTTATGTTTTCTCTATCTTTTGTTTTGCATGATCATTAGGGGTAATCGCTTAAGAAAAAGAATATTAACATTGCATAATCATAGAGTATTAATAGATTAAGTATGGAGGTTAGTAAACACTAAAGAAATTAACATTGGGATTAAACTAAAGAAAATATAGAAAGGTGTAATAGGTGAAATTCTATGTCTTAGGCTCTTCTCATCCAATTTCTATCAAAAACAAATTATTTTTTGAATTTAACTTTGTTTTATTTTAATCCATTACGCATCCTCTCTATTTAAACAATTGAATCAAAGTATTCTTTGTAATTGAAAATAATCTCTGTGGGACGATAACTTAGAAACTTAATTCTAAAACCCTTTATTATTTTTTGACAGATACACTTCCCTATGAACAATTAGATATCTTGGTAAGAAATTAAGAAAATGCATAGTTGAGTTAATTCTCTTGTCATATTTTTCCTTGATAGAAATATTTCAAAGAAAGATCAATAGTGACTCAATATTAGATATTGTTTCTAAAGTACACAACTACATTCTTAATTTTATGAATGATAATGATTATTATTATTCAATAAAATAAGATATGTTGGGAACATTGTTCTGATATCATGAATGATAATGATTCCATTATTGCTAAATTTCAATGAAGACAATTTCCTTTGATAGTTTCATATGTCATGATGATTAATAAATTTTAAGGACGAACTTCGTTTATAGTTGAATTATACCTCCCACATTCAATTTCTACACATGACCAATTATATATTGCATTATCAAAAGTTACATCAAATAAGAAATTACAATTTTTATTAAAAAATTGTATAATTAATGTTGTTTATTGAGAAATATTTGCTAAGTTGGGATGACAATATATTTTTTAAAGGAGCATAATTATAATCTCAATTTCATAGTCTATTGTTTTCACTCTTCTATGTGTTATAACAAATACATGATTATTATTATTCAATAAAATATATTATTTTCAAAACTTGTGTGTTTTAATTGTGTATTATTTTAAAATAGTTTGGTAATCATGATAAAAATACACAATAAAATAATTTATTCTATCATATTTTATTTTTCAATGTTTGTTGAACTAAAATATATAATAACTTATCTTTTTGATTTATTTTATCCTATTCTCAAACTTTAAATTCTTATCATGAGGGGGTGATGGGTTGAAAAACATCAAGATAATGTAACTTTTTTTTTATTACGTTATTACTAATAATTTATACGATTTTTAATATCATTTAACTAATATAATTTTAATACTTTTATAAAATATTATCTGAATATTTTTATTAAAAATGTTTTTTAAAAAATATATTTTTTAAATATTTCACTTATTTTATAAAATGTATTTAAAATTTTTTATAATTTATTTTTAATTATATTTATTACTAAAAGAATAAATTTTAATTGTAAAAATTAAAAAAATTATAATTTTCAATATCAAAATTTTCAAATTATATGCACATAAAAATATATTTAAATTTTTAATATATAATTTTTATTAAAAATTCAAAAACACTAAATAAAAAATATATTTTTCAAATTATATTATTTTTTATAAAATTATTTTATTTTTATTTATAATAATATATATTTATTTTTATTGGTTTAAACTTTTTAAGTATGATACTCATAAAAAAAATTTAGGTACCATATTACATACTAAAATTAATTGAATTAATTTTTTTTTAATCTACATCAAAGTTTTTATTAACCGGAGCAAAATACTCTTTAAATATTTAATATAATTACATTTATTAAGAGTTAAAGTTTAAGAATAAAAGTTAATATGAAAGAACTTTAAGCCAGTTGATCCATTCAACTCTACTTTAATTAAACACATTTTGTTTTAAAATTTATGTTTAAAAATTAAAAATGAAAAAAATCCTAACTCGAATAAACTCTGAATTAGTGCATTTGAATTCTCTTTAAAGTGAGAAATCACAAAAACAAATAAGTTGTTGGGATGCAAAATCATGGACTCAATGAAGCACAAGAAGAGTTAAAAGTCGGCATCTTCAAAATAATCGGTTTTATTGGTCCAAACAATAACCAAATCCAAACCACTTCAAAATAATCAGATTTATTAAAATTAATTACTAAAAGAGTCTATTGAATTTTGAAACGGGTTTTGGTGGCCCATTTGTTTCGGAACGGGTTGGATCTCCAGATTTCTTCTAAACACATAATGGCGAGGAGTTTTCTTCCTTATTAGAGACAGGTACAAGCATGATGCAATGATGCAGTGCAAGCATCAGATGGGGAAGAATGAACACCAATTTTAAAACCAAATTAGAACTGAATTGATTAAAACCAAACCAGATTTAAAATGATGGGGATTGATTTTGAAACAATAAAAATATTTTTTCAGTTTTCAACAATAAAATAAAATAATGAGTTATATTATTCTTATATAATAATTTTTTATAACAATTTTTTTCTCTCTCTCCATTCATCACAGCGTCTAATCACCCACATCTATTTTTCTCTTCCGAACTTTCTAATTTGTAAAATAATAATACAACAAACTTGATATATAAATAACATTTCTCAAAATTTAACCCGTTTGGCTAAAAATTAGTTCTTATTTTGATAAATAATTAACAAAATATCACACCAAATTTTTACTTTATTTTGCATTTTTAAAAATTTATAAATAAAATAGTTAAAACTTTTTCATCTTCGTCATTATTTACATAGATCTTTAAACACGGAAATCAAAGTGAAAATAAGATAATATTTTTCTAATTTAAAATAATATATATATATATATATATATATATTCTCAAATTAAAGAAAACCTTACAAGGTCCATGTTAAGTCCGAGACGAGTATTTTAAGAATACTATACAGAAGAATCTTAAATTAACCTATAAAGAACATAATCATCACACAACTGGATAAAATCGGAGAAAGTTAGACCTACCTTTTATGTCAGAATTCAGACAGTAGGTAAAATAACCATAGATCGGGTATATTGAAGCAAAATATAGATTAATCGACAAATCAGAACGTATAATATTCTATTCTATAAATTATGTAACATACACTGAGAATTCTTGACAGAAGAAATTAACTTAATCTGAAAGATTGCCATTGGACATAGATACTATACCCCTTACAAGAACTTCTACAAGAAATGTAACAATATTACAGTATCTTGTCAGCCACAACATAGCATTATTCATTTCATGTATTGCCTTCGGTTTAGGGCCTGCCCCGCCTCATGCTGCATGATGGGCATTTGTATTGCTTTATGCTCTCAGCTTTTGCAGGAGTAATCTTCACACACTTACCATGGAACCACCTCTCACATATATCACAGCCAATCCAAAATTCGTCTGCATTGTAATTTCCACCACAGCTCCCACAAAGGGTTTCGCTATGCTCATCATCTTCTTCCTCGTAACCTTCGTCCGCAAACTTTGGGTTGCTTTTAACTTGCCCATCGCTTGATCTCTGCAGATAAATGAACAAGCAAGCATCATGTAGCAGCATGGCAAGGTTCAGATTAAGATCCTGAAATTCTAAGTCCTAAGAAACAAAGGAATTTGCAACTAAGAAACAAACACCATGACCAAGAGCATCTAAAATGCAGTCCAATTTTACACTCATTACAATTTCCATGATCATATATACATAAGCAAAGGAATAAATATGAGTGTAACAGTGTGATAGATTTTGTACACTGTGCCACAAATAGATTAAGATCCTGAAATTCTAAGACCTAGTGTAGCTTTTGCCTGCACTCAGCTGCTTCGGAAAGTGAACCATAAAAACAACAAATAAACTAGTCAATGGCATCTTATTGTAGTAGTTCTATGAATAGTATTTCTCTGTGTCTGATTGAGGAGATAAACATACAAAAAGGATAATTTTGTTGAATAACATATTATTACATTGATATCTTGCCTAATGACTCTAATCCGGCACAAAAAGGAAAAGACAAGTACCACATACATACTCATGCATAAACAACACTAACCTTGGTGCTACCCCTGGATTTGCTTCCACTGTCTGCAGTGGGCTTGTCCTTCACTGGCTTCCTCTCAGTCACAACTTCAAAAACAGTAGGAAGGTCATTGATCAAGCTAAATAACCGCTTCCTGCCATAAAGAATCAATGAAACAATCAATAGAAAGATAGAGCCATACGCACATTTCAGAGAAGATGTTGAGGAAAAATACTTCAGCAAAGAGAACCCATGAGAATGGAAAAGCTATAAGTGAATATCCTTCTCACCAACCTTCAGTTTATGATTAGTTTTCTTGAATTGATAATATTTTGGATGAAAAGGGAATCTGCTAATGTTTCTGGGAAGATAACACTGCCTTAAGAGTTAAGACACATTTTACTGTCCATCCAAGGAACATATGCATAAACTACACCAGAATCACAACAGATCAAAAAGAAATTACAGTCATTGCCAATTAATAAAGGCCATTATTTCTTTGAAGACCTTCATCCATGATGATACTAATGCATTTCATCAAATTTACAATAACAGGCCCCAGGTTTCAAAATGTACCAAAGTGCTTAAGCATGTGCATTACAGATATAGAGCCACAACCCATTTAAATATTCACCTCAAGCTTACACCCCAAATAAGCTAGTCAGTACCTTTCATTGCGGTTAAGACGAGCGCCAAGGTAGAAGGCCACAGAAAGCAACCACGAATCACTGTGCACAGCAACCAGGGAAAGCCAGTCCCTGCGGTTCATGCCATCCCTAGCAAAATTGATTCCAAGAGCCGGCTCCGGAAGCTCGGGCGGAACCTCCTCTGCTGGCAGAGTCACTTCCCATGTTTCATTCGGATGTCCATAGAGACACAAGTTCTCCTTATCTTAAAACAAACACACGAGGGAAATTTTGAATTCAACGGAACAAATAGGGAAACTAACAAATATCATTATTAAAAAAAATTAAAATCCATAACAAAACAACTAAGAGAGCATTTCCAGCACGAATATAATTCAACAAGCTACGTGTCTTACAAATTCATGTCCAAATCAAAATCCAGAAACTAAATGTGTCTCAGAAAAACAAACCCATACAAATCAAGTTAAAAGTTTTCACAAAACCTAAATCACACTATTAGAAATAACACACTTGCTGCTTAACCAAACAAACTAAAAATCCATTACAACCTTATCAACAAGGGATACTTAGTTTATTCATCAATTTATATATTTTATTAACAAATAATATATTATACGCATATAATTAAAGCATGGGAGATGGGTCATGTTAAGCTTTGACTTTCTTTATTTAATCAAATTTTTTTCTCCAAAATCTCCGAAAACAATAAAGTCAACTTGCAGAACCCAAACAAGCATGCACTGTTTACACCGAAAATAAAACTGGAAAATAAAATAATAATTTTGCACGTAAAGTAAAAGATAAAAATAATTCAGATCCGTGACAAATCTGTACCTGGATCACAGAGTCCATAGAATTCATCGACATCTGAGAGAAGAAAAGCGAAGGAATCAGAAAGGTTTGGATGGATTAGTGAAATTGGAGAGAGAGAGAGAGAGAGAGAGAGAGAGAGAGAGAGACCTTGAGAGAGAGCACGAACGATAGCGGTTCTACGAGCGCTGTAATCTTTGAAGATCTCTTCGACGGTGCGGGGAGTGGAAGCCATTTCCATGAATAGAGATCTGAAGAGAAGGTTCTAGAAAGCGCGGTGAGGGTGCGGGTGCAGGGTCGAGACCATGGGAAGGGATCGTAGGGATCGCAGGTGCATGTGATGATGTTAGGGACAGACAAGGAACTAATGAGAGAGAAGAGATTGCAACTTGGAGATGCAAAATAAATACAGACAGAGTCGTGGAGTGTGTGTGAATAACGCTGTTTTCGTTTTAATGATACATAAATTGCTTTTTAATTTTTTTTATTGATATATAAAAAATGACGCTTAGTATAAAATTTATTATAAACTTTTAAAATATTAATTATTTTATATTTATCTGTCATAAATATTATTTTTATATCTAATATAATAATAAAGTAACTTTAAATAAGAAATAAATTTAAAGTAATGTAATTATTTTTTCAAAAAACTAATATCTTAATTAATTTTAATTTTTAATATATTTTTATTAATGTTATTTATAAGGTTGATTTTAAATATTAAAAAAAACTTGATATACTTTTATGTTCTTGATATAATAATTTTTTAATAAAAAATCATCTTAAAAATTAAATTAAAATTTTCAATTTTATAATTACGTGATTTAATTAAAATGATCGTATAGAAATAATCATACCCAATAAGTTGTTTGCTTTACTTATTCTTGTCACTGTTAACTTTTGGTGGTGTGATGCTTCCTAAGTTTTTCTGTATTTGATTTTAAAATTATTTTCAAAAGGTTGAATAAGTCTATTCTTTTGTCGCTTCTGTCTTTTTTCTTTTTTTATTTTTTTTATTTTTTCCCTTTCCTTTGAAAAGAATAAACATTTTCATTTTCAACTGAAGGAGATGAACAACCAATTAAGTTGGTTGGATCAAAGGTAGTTCCCGTGGAAACAACTTGTGAAGGGTACTAGTGAGATCACTATTTCACAGTAACTTTGTTTAGTAGATTAAAAAGAAAAAACTTAAATAACATTTGTTTAAGAATCTTTTTTAAAATAAGAATAAAAGATTTATCTCATTTTAAACTCTCCAACAAAGCTTATTAGAATGTATAGATTTATATAAATTTTTAAGCAAAATTTTTTCTTTATTTCTAAAAAATACAATTTAAAAATTATATATATAAATTATTTTAGTCACAAAGTTAATCTTAATATATAATTAATTTTTTAATCAATTATTTTTTCCTTATATAATTTTTATTTTAAATAAGTCTTGTAAACAGAATATTCATCGTTACATAATATTTTTATTATTATTGCATTTGTAACGTCACAAATTTTGATAATATTAATTATTATTATTCTTTTATATATATATATATATATATATTTATATATGTGTTGATTTATTTGAAAATGATGTTTTATGTGTATTAAGTACATGATTGTGTGTATATATGTGTATGTGTGACTGAATAGGCTGAAAATAAGCTAAGTGTCTAAGTGTAAGCGTGATACTGGGCTGTTTTTGCTGCAGCGAGAGGGCCTTGGGAGAAAAGACCAGAACTGTCGCCTTCTCGCTGTAGCGACAGAGCGATAGTTTGGGGTGCATTTCTGAGTGCAGTCTCGCTATAGCGAGAAGGTCTCGCTGTAGTGAGATTCTGCAGAAACCAGAGTGCAGTTTTCTCTAATTTTTTTACTGTAGCGAGAGGGTGTGGACCTCGCTGCAGCGAGAATATTTCGCTGTAGCGAGAGTGTCGCAACCAGAAAAAGATTTAAAGGGGGTTAAGGTTCGGGAAGAGTTATTTCTCCCTCTCCCTTCGATCCTCTCATGCCTAAAGCCCTTTCCACTTATTAAATTGCCTCCAAAGCCGTTCGAGAGCTTGATTGAAGATTAAATCTGTGTGGAGGTAAGTTTTAATGGTTATGGTTCCGTTTCTCATCCCCTTTTCTCTATTTTCGTGGTTTCCTTGGGTTCTCATGAAGTTTCTCCATGTGTTTAGGACGAAATCCATAAGGGGGAGCACTTCTTGGTGGATTTAGCGTGTGGGTCTTCAATTCAAGGTAAGGGAAGACTCTATCCTACTCTTTTGTGCATGAATTGTTATTATTTTGCTGAATATTGTATTGTGAATAAGTTAATGGGTAGAAAATTGCTGAGAAACATAATGTGGGCCATGTGCCGTGGTATGTGAACATGATGTGTGTTGATCCGAAATTGATGGATGTGGATTGTATATAAATATTGTGTGATAGAATGAGTATGGGCACTTGTGCCGTATATTTAAATGAATATTGTGAAAATGTGGGCCTAAGGGCCGTGTAATGTGAACGATAATTGTGGGCTGTGTGCCGTGTGTAAGCATGATTACTGCATGCGTGAATGGAATATGTGTGAATGAGCGTGTTAGCGCCGTTGTAATGTGATGTGAATGGTTCAGCGATATACTGAGGATGTCGGAGATGAGGACGGTAGAAATACCTTGGGGAAGAGGGAGTGCTGGTGACACCGACTGCAGAACGGGTGCACCATGGGCCACACACTCTCTTCTTGACTAGACCTCTGACCACTATCTTTACTGAGCGACCCGTGACTATCCACGTAGTATCCGTGAGGCGGGGTAACCGACGACCATTCATGGTGTAAATCTATGATCACAGTGCCACAGTGAGTGTGGTTGGTGTGTGTGTGTATGCACGAGTTTTGTGTACTGTACCTATGGATATGGAATGCTGCTTGTGATTGTATTTGTTTAATGTATTGAAAATGTACTGGAGGTGAGACTTTACGTTGATTGTGTGTTTTTAGGTAGTGTAGAGTACTCACCCTTATATTCATTTTTCAGGTAATCAAGACGATCAGCACCGGACTCAGTGAAGGGGTGGATGGAACTGTTATAGGACTTAGGATATTATTTTGAAAAACTGTTATATTTGAATAAGTCTCATAGCAACTGTTTGATATAAATTGTAACCCCTTCCTTTATTTAAAATGGTTAATGAAACTTGAATTAAAAATAAAAATTTTATTATCTCAAAAATTTGTAAAATTTCTTATTTATTGAAAATTAAAATTTAAGGTGTTACAACATTTATTTTTACTTTTATCTATCTATCTATCTATCTATATATAATCCTTTTAAAGAGTTTATATCATTCTTTTCAAGAAAGTTCAATGTGTTTATAGTCATTAAATTATTTAATTAGATACATTTGTTTTATAGATCTAAATTTGCTCGTTCATGCATAAATTAAAATATTATATTTCATTTTTGTTTAAATAAATTTTTTTCATTTAAATAATAGTAAAAATTTGTATTAAAAAATTGTAAAAGAATGAGAATGAGAGGAGACTAAGAGTTAAGGAAAGGAAATTAGAGAGTTGAAAAGGAAAAACAAAAAAAAAGTACTAAGATAAGGGGAATGCGGATATGAGACTATGGAAAAGGAAAACTAGAGAAAGGGAAACGAAAATTTTTGTTTCCATTTAAATAAGAATAGAATTGGACTATTTAATTCCTATATGAATTGAAATAAATTTGTATCTCTATTTTATACCTCTTACAAAACTTCTTTATTTTCTTTTTATAAAATCTTTTGCTAGTTGTTACTTGCATTAGTTATTTATTTATCTATTTTTACATAGTAATTAATTAAGTATAAAGATAAGTAGTTATGAGTAGTAATAATTTTAAAGATAATTTTTTAATAAACTTTTAAATTATTAAAAATTTATATTATTAATAAAGTTGATTATTTTTATTAACTTTTGTAAAATAATTAAAAATATTTTATATGAGACAAAATAATATTACATAAGTTAAATTATAAATTTAGTCTTTATACTTGATACATTTTTTCAATTGAATTCCTATAAAAAAAAATTACAATTTAGTTACTACGTCCGTGAATGTATTTAAAATATTCCTTGATCATTTAATACATTTTATGTGTTAAACGAAGAGACTAAAATATTATATAATTTTTTTTTTATAAAAATTAAAACATAAATTTTTAACTTTTCTTTAGACGTTATACTTACAAACCTTATTTAAGTCAAGATTCCTAGGAAGATTTGAATTTGTAAAAAAAATATGTAATACCAAAAAAGTTTAGTAATTTAAATATGGAAAATGAAAACTTTTATTGTAAAATATGATTTTTTTTCATAAAATTATGTGAATATTAATACTATACTATAAAAGTTTACATTAGTATTTTTTATGAACAAAAATAAAAGTTGAAGCGTCAAGACTTTATTGACACAATCTAAAGCCTAATTAACGCAACTTATACATTTGAAAAAGTCACCGTTAGCGACCTTTGACCAAGAATAAGTTCATTTCAACTATGAAGTTTCACCATAGCATGTCAAGCAAAAAGAATCTCTGCATCCCTCTGAAAAATTGTTATTAGCAACTTTTGGATCAAGAATTCCTATCATTTTCAATGTAGAAGCAAGACAATGAGTCTATGCTCTAAAATCCATCCTTGGTGATCTTTGATGTTATAAATAAGACCTTCATGTATAACAAGAAGTCATGCACATGGAGTGCATGGAAGAAGGAGGAGAGAGAAATCTAAGGTGGAAGAAGGGTGAAAAAATTGTAAAAAAAAATTAGGGAATAATTATAAATTTTAAAATAGAAGAAAAAATTAGGTTAAAAAGAAAAATAGTCAAACATTCAACTATGAATTCATAGAAGTATGTCTTAAAAAATGTACGTAATTTAAATGTAAGTTTTTTTTAATTTATATTCTATTTTTTTGGTTATTTTCCATTTTTATTTACAATTTAATCTTCATAAAAAGTAAATTATTATTACCAATATATAATAATTTTTATGAAATAAAATATTTGTAACGTCTTGTTTAGCATAAATTGAAAACAAATTTTATATAATTAAGTTTGAAAAATATAAAATTTAACATGTTATTTAATATCAGTAGAATTTATTATTTTTATTATCATTATTATTTATGAATTAATTAATTTTTTTATAATATATTTAGGTTAATTTATTTAATTTCTTAAATTTGTGTTATTAATGTTTCTTACATTTATTAACATTTCTTTTAAACTTTTATAACTTAAGAAATATAACCTAAATGTATTTGTTTTGATATATTTAGTTAATAATTTTAATAAAGACTTAATTATATATTTTATTTTTATTAAAATTAATTTTTTTAAAAATATATTAAAATTTATTTTTAAATATTTTTAAAATGCTTAGAATTAATTTTGCCATCAAATATTCTTTAT